AAATGTGCGTACATATGTACGTAAGTAATATTACATGCGTAGTAAATAATTGCGATAACTATGAATGTTATGATGAGCATAAGCTTATGATAATAATACGAATATGTATAAGCTTTTGCCAACTCATAGCGATGGCTATTGGAAATTTTTTATACATACTTACATATGTACATATATATGTACTTGTTAAAGTGCTCTACATTAGCCAATATGTTTGTTATGTTTATTTTTTCGCGGAATTGGTAGAACAGTCAAATCGTTTGTTGGCCTATGAATGGCGGCTATTAATTTTTGTTATTGTATGGGTTTTATAGATATCTGGGTGAGTAATGCCACTTTACTTATATATGTATGTACATACATTTCAGTCAAAAATTAGCTGATATACATATGTGCAGATATACCTATGTACCTAGGATGTTTGTATGTACATAAATGCGCAATATAGAAAATTCCGTCCACCTAATTGCGTCAAATGTCATCTTTATTTTGGCTGTAATTAAGATTACACTTTAACTGATTCCAGATGGGGTTTCTATACCACTTCCTAACATGAAATCGAGCAATGAACTGTCTCTTTATTTGTATTCACATTAGGGCTGAGAGTTCTATATGGATTTTTTCAATATCCGTATAATCCCGATATTCGAATACCTGGTTAAAAATTATCCGTATACAGTGAAACCTCCCTTGGGAGGACACTCACCGTCAGTCATTTTTTGTCCGCCCAAGAGAGGTGTCCGCTCAAGGGAAGGGAAGCCTATTTTAGAATTTTTTAATGTTTTAATTAATTGAATATTCACTATTTCTTATTTAAATAAAAGTATTGATATTACATCGTTCAAACAAAAATGTGCATGTATTTTTTCAAAAGTGCATATTTCATTTATGTGCGTAAGTACATATTAAGTAATAACAAAATAAAAATAAATATTACATTTCAGTCCATAAACTACATAAAACCATAGATTCATTACATAAAAAACTGGGAAATTGTCGATTGACGTAAGTTTTATTTTTAATTTTTTTCAGTGTCAGTACCTTTTTCATCAATAGTTTTCATGTTTTTATCAGTAACAAAATCCAACCAGAAATCTAAATTTTCGGTCCATGTATTTATTATTATCTATTGTTATAAATTCATCAGAATTGGAATTGGATTCTCCAAGGGTTTCTGATAATTCAAATAACGAACCTAAACCACTGCGCAAACCAAACTAAATGTGTGCATAACAATCACATTTTATGCGGGAAGTCCCCTTTTTCCATTTAGTAGTCCGCCTATGAGGAGTTCGCGTCCGCTCAACGGAGGTTTTTGTTTGATTTGTTATGAAAAGACATCTTAATGTCCGTTGATAAGAGGTTCGCGTCCGCTCAATAGAGTTTTTTGTGTCAATTTTATGCAAAATAACTGTCCGCGTCCGGCCAAGAGAGGTTCCGCTTAAGAGAGAGTAATTTGTTCTGAAATTTATACTTAAAACTTGGTGTAGGAAAAAATGTCCGCCCAAGGGAGATGTCCGTCTAATAGAGGTGTCCGTTAGGAGAGGTTTCACTGTATTCGGNTATTTAAATAAAAGTATTGATATTACATCGTTCAAACAAAAATGTGCATGTATTTTTTCAAAAGTGCATATTTCATTTATGTGCGTAAGTACATATTAAGTAATAACAAAATAAAAATAAATATTACATTTCAGTCTATAAACTACATAAAACCATAGATTCATTACATAAAGAACTGGGAAATTGTCGATTGACGTAAGTTTTATTTTTAATTTTTTTCAGTGTCAGTACCTTTTTCATCAATAGTTTTCATGTTTTTATCAGTAACAAAATCCAACCAGAAATCTAAATTTTCGGTCCATGTATTTATTATTATCTATTGTTATAAATTCATCAGAATTGGAATTGGATTCTCCAAGGGTTTCTGATAATTCAAATAACGAACCTAAACCACTGCGCAAACCAAACTAAATGTGTGCATAACAATCACATTTTATGCGGGAAGTCCCCTTTTTCCATTTAGTAGTCCGCCTATGAGGAGTTCGCGTCCGCTCAACGGAGATTTTTGTTTGATTTGTTATGAAAAGACATCTTAATGTCCGTTGATAAGAGGTTCGCGTCCGCTCAATAGAGTTTTTTGTGTCAATTTTATGCAAAATAACTGTCCGCGTCCGGCCAAGAGAGGTTCCGCTTAAGAGAGAGTAATTTGTTCTGAAATTTATACTTAAAACTTGGTGTAGGAAAAAATGTCCGCCCAAGGGAGATGTCCGTCTAATAGAGGTGTCCGTTAGGAGAGGTTTCACTGTATTCGGTTTTTCGAATCTAAAAATAACAATTGTTTGTGTTTTAATCAAGCTTTCTATTATTTATTTTGCAAATCAATAGAGTCACGAATCCGTTCAAAAACTGTTTAAAATATCCGGATAACCAAGATATTCGGATATTCGGAGTTTATGGGTATATAAGAAGGGCTATTTGGATATCGGAATATGCGGATACTCCCAGCCCCAATTCACATAAATATATAGAAGGTGTAAAATAATAACAGCCGCACGGTTTTGTTTTTAATAAAATGGAAGTACCCTTTTAGATTTTGCGAAAAAATAACGTCTTTTAAGTAATATAAACAGAGCACAGTTGCTGAAGGAGACTGTTACAATTAAAGAAGGTAGTTGTGTGGGAAATTTCTTCCTGTCAAATGTAAAAACGCTCTTCTTTAGAAAATATTTTGATTCGAATTTGTTTTCGTACAGTTTTACTGGCGAAGTAACTGATTTTCAGCCTGTCATTGCTGGCTAATAAATTTCCTTGCCATTTTTTCTTTGTTTTTCTGTTGTATTCTTCTTACAGCTGGCCTCGTAAATAAGTTTTCCTCATAACTTTCTATTCGCGCAGTCACTTTGTCGCACTTTCTTCGGTTTGAAGCCTCCAATTAATTCGCTTATTGTTCTAACCTTTTCTGTTTACCCTCCAAAATTATTTCAGCACATTTTCCATTTACTTTCACTCTTCAATATTTGCTGCGATACTTGAGTGCAGATGTCGTTTGTATTGCATCATTGTAAGAATTTTATCGAATCGTATTGATCTTCAAATGGTTAAATATTTTTTTTTTTTTTTTCGGGGAGCAAGCGAACAAAAACTGCAATTGCCTGCGGCCACTTTCCGCTTCCACTTTTGCTGCTACCCTTGCACTCACTCTGCGTTAAATTAGGATACATACTTGGATGTTTGGCACTTTGCAGCTGTTATCCTAGCATCTGCATGTTGCATTTTTAATTATTACTTTTGTCGAGTGCGTTTCGAAATGAATAGAAAGTTTGCGGGGTGGAGAAATGTGACTCGTGTTACGCGTCAATTATTGCGGAACAAAATTACAAGTATACGCCGGAATGCCAATGGAGAAGGGTGAGTGGAAGGGGTGTTCCTGAATTGTGGTTTACCTAGGGTGATATATAGGATATAATACACAAAAGTAGTACGCACATTAGGGTGGTTAAAAAAAAACACACGGAAACCCCACTTTTTGTTACAACCACCCCCTTTTCCTTGAATTGTAGACAAAAAAATGTGTTTTTTTTTTAGAACTGGTTGATATTTAATGGGCGTTGAAGTACCTATTCCATGTATTTTACATTTGCAAAATAAATTTTTTAACAAACTTTTTTCGCGACCCTGTCTAATGCACGTACATATTAATGTACAGATACATATGTATGTATTATGCCAATAAACCGCAATCCAAAAAAAAACATACATTTTTAACTGATAAAAGTATATTTCTTCACCCATTCAAACCGAATTTCAAATGTTTTATGAGAGAAAAAGACGGTTTGAACTTATAATGGCCGATTCCACGCCCAATAAGAAGCAGCTTACGTCGGCTTGCCTCCAAATTTAATTCACTTTAAAACGCACACCAAATGCCATAATTAAAAAGCACTCAACGTTCATTTTCCACAATCACTTTTTCTCCGACTTAGTTGCAGAGACAAAGTGATTTATCCTGGTATAAGGAAGCACTCTCACATATCCTACAAATGCACACACACACACTCACACGCCCACACTTCACTGCACACAATTTCTCTGTTGCATAGACTGCAAGACACAATGACTACGCCCCTACGTGACTTTACGCCGAAAGCCGTACATTAAAAGCAAAGCCACCAAGCCGCCAAGCCACTGAACCGCCAAAGCAGAGTCGGAAGGGCACCACACTTGCATTACCTTGGCAGTGACATGCATTGCACTGTGTTTACTTTTCTGATAAAGCAACGGCGGCTAATGTGAGGCCGGGAAGGTCCTTGCTCCGAGCGCTGCACATACAGAATCAGCGCATAATGCTTGCAGTGCCATCTATGAGATACGAAATACCGCGCATGCACCAAACTACGACTCGCGGTGTCCTCGCGATGATGGTACCTCACCGTTGGATTGCTCGGTTGGGCGACTGTTTGTTTGGCCAACAATTCGACAGTAGTAACTGTGCCCTGTTGCCGTTCGTGCGCGTAGCCATATCACTGCCAAGCAAAGTAACAAAAACCTCACAAGGACTAACGATTTGAAATCGGATTTTTTTTTTACAAAATGCGCGTAGTTTATTTCTAAGCCTTATTTTTTATGAAATTTTCTACTTTTGTAATTTTGATACGAAATTATGTAATTGATAAGCGTGAGCAGCAAAAGTTTGCGAGCTATTTTGATGTGTGCCACCTTGAATTCCGTTTGGTGTGTAAAAAATCGATAAGATGGTTTTTTACGGTACTACTCCTTGTCACTCTGTTCGCACTCGTATTTATGGGATAAGGATACACAGCGGAAGTGCCGTCTGAGTAGGTGAGCGTGAGAGTCGGTCAATGTTTGTGTGCAACATATTCGTGCGATTATCTATTGAATGAAAGTGTAAAGTCTTTTCAATGAATGTTTCCGCTTTTAATTGCTTACTTTACTTTACATAATTGACTTTTTTTGTCTTGTGCCTCCCTTTCCTAGGTCATAACTCCCCAGCGTCACGGTGATGTTTATATCTACAACTGGCCGGCAGCAGCTTCTTCATCTTCAGTCAGTCATCGGCACAGTCAGCCACACCAGCCACATCAATACCATCATCAGAGTCACCCACATTCACAGTCTCAGCAGCTTTACAGCAACCAAAGTATATACCAGAACATATCCATGATGTCGGCGGCGGCCGCAAACGGCAGCGGAAATGGCAGCGAGTTCGAAACTTACGATACACCAAAGCCGGCCACCCCAGTCAATTACGATTGCCCCAAGAACGTGTGTCGCACACCAACGCAACTGCGCTTCGGCGATAATATGCCGCTAAACATGAAAGTCTGCTCGACGCCTATTCAAGAAGAGTCCTACGACGTGCCTCGTCCACTGCAGACGCTCGTCCAGCATCAAAGTACACTGACGCCCAGCAGCTCCAATTCATCGCTGCTTACCAGCGACAGTCTGAGTCTATCATTTTCATCGTCGAATCGTTCATCGTTGGCGAATATGCCCGACTACGATGTGCCGCGTCGTAATCCGCTGCCGGTTCGTGCGGTTCAACAACAACAGCAACTACTGCTTCAGCAAAGGCATCAATCGGTGCAGTTTATCAATGGCAACTGCTCAACCTACGACTTTCCGCTGCCGTCAAATCTTTCCACACCGGTTGCGGAGAAGTCCTCGCCCAACGCTACGCTGCTGGCAGCAGCCGCTTCGAAGGAGTTGCCATTGGAGTTGTCCTCAGCGCTGCACACCCTCGATAAGCTACAATTCGAAGCAACAACAGCAATAACAAAGTGAGTTGCCTAACGCTAGACACGCGAAGTAAAACTTCTAAGTTAACACCTCATTTCTCATTCCAGGTTGCTGTCTTTTGTCACGCCGAATTGGCGTCTACGCGAGAAACTTGAACCGGTATTGATGGATGTTAAATTAACCGCTGTTCGCTTGCGCACCGCTCTACATGACCTCAGCGAATTCGGTGAAGGCGCACTGGGCAACGCTACCCGCTCGGAGGATCGCAACTTGGCGCTCAAATTGAGGCCACATGTGCGGGCCCTGCGTGATGCTGACAAACTGATACACGACACCACCGAGGCACTGGACGCACAAAGCTGGGCAATCGAGCAACTTACGCGCAACGACGAGAAGTTCAAGACCTTCTGCAAACCGCCCGACAGCCTTGACCAGCTCATTGCATGCGCGCAAACCCTCACTGAGGATGTACGGCAAACAACCTCCTTCATACACGGCAACGGCTCACTGCTATTCAAACACAGTCTGAGCGAGGGTGGCGAGGAAGAGGCGGACAGCACGAAGGCTGAAAGCGCTGCGGAAGACCAAAATACACCAAAGCGAGGCAGTTCAGAGTGGGTGGAAGACTACGATTACGTTTCTTTTGAGTCCAAAGATGCCGCAGCGAAAAAGAACTCGGCTTTGCGTGAGGCAATACCGGCAAATTTGAAAAAGAATTTCGACACGGTCATCAAAGCAGCCGAGACAACGGTTATGGCCGCTTCCAATGTGATGACAACACCGGTAAACAACAACAACGCAAACGCAAAGAAACAGGAGCTCACGCAGAAGGACAAAAAGTTGGTCTGCTATTACGCGGTGCAAATATCCACACACATGGGCAACTTGCAGCAAGCGATCGACTCTTTTCTGGAAACTGTCGAGAAGAATCAGCCGCCGAAATTTTTCATTGCCTACGGCAAGTTTGTGGTGGTGAGCGCGCACAACCTGGTTACCATTGGCGACATTGTGCACCGCAACGTCTCTAAGCCGGAACTGCGCGAGAAGATTTTGCGCTACACAGACGCGCTGTCCGAGGCGCTGAAAACGTGCGTGCAAAAGTCAAAGAAGGCCGCAGCGCAATTCCCCAGCGTCACAGCTGTGCAGGAAATGGTTGACTCCGTGGTGGACATCAGCCACTTGGCAGCCGACCTGAAGGTGGCCATGTTGCAAGCCGTACAGCTAAGTCTATAAATGGGCTGGACACGAATTGTGTTGCATACTGCTAGCCTACACACATCGGTATACATACATACATACATATGTATGCCACTATATACTGCATATTATGGAAGGACCGCAAAGCAACACAAATTTTTGGCATTTGTTTTTGTCAAAGGCTTCAAAAGTCTTCCACCCCTTAGAGCAGAAATCCGAGAGCTAATTAAAACTTAAAAGCGCTGTTAAATAAATAAATGAGCTTCAATGCTTTTTGCTTCCAGCAATAAAATATTGTCCAAAATATTACGCACAGTGGAGCTAAGGGACTCGTATCTAAAGGAAATTTAAGCACATAAGAAAACTTACATAATCAACTGGCGCTGACTGCTCGGCACAATGCCGGAAACGAAAACGCCAAATTCCTGTCGTTTATAGAGAGATGATTAAACGGTATTGCAATAATGGGAAACGATTGGGCAACTAATTAGCAAACGATTTTCCGAATAAGTTGTGTTAAGTGCCCGACCACGGTGAGCCGACGAAGCACTTGCACATACATATGTATTAGGAGTAGCGTACGCTCTACTGTGGACACACAAATGTGTATGTATGTAATTAGTAAAGTTAATTTAAATATAATTTTAAATGTGATATTTTAAGCGAACAGTGTTTAAGCAATTATTACATAAATCGCAAATTTCTACAACAAATGTGTTTAGATGCAAAAAGATGCACTTATACATATACTATATGTACATTAGTATATAGATATTCGTGTGTATTTAAAGTCTAATTTATTTTACTTTCTTGTAAATATTTCGTTATCAATGCAGCATATCGCCCTAATACGAGTTGTATTCACTTTAAACCCCACTATAGTATATTAAATTTCTTATCTTTATTTTAAATTATCGTTTAATGTTTAAGTTATTTGTAGAAAAAGTCCGTGGAAGCAATTGCATACAGAAGTATGCTATGAGACTTTTTTTTTTT